AGGTGGATTTTTTGAAGTAGAAGCTCAAACTGTTTGGGCACAGACCTGGATAGTAGATTGCAACTCCACCCCCTTTGGCAGTTCTATCTAGACGGAAAATGTTATAGTTGGGGATGGAAATTTCAGAAATGTTGGTGGCCTTCCTAAGCCAGGAGTCAGACACTGCTAGAACATCAGGGTTGGCGGAGTGTGCTAACGCAGTGAATAACTCAAACTTAGGAAGGAGGCTTCTGATATTTACGTGCAGAAAACCAAGGCTTTTACGGTTACAGAAGTCAACAAATGATAGCTCCTGGGGAGTAGGAGTGATACTGGGGGCTGCAGGGCCTGGGTTAACCTCTACATCACCAGAGGAACAGAGGAGGAGTAGAATAAGGATACGACTAAAGGCTTTAAGAACTGGTCTTCTAGTGTGTTGGGTACAGAGAATAAAGGGGGCAGATATCCGGGCGTTGTAGAAAAGATTAAGGGCATTATGTACAGAAAAGGATATGGAAGGATATGAGTACAATTGAGGTAAACCTAAGCGTTGGGTAACAATGAAAGAGATAGCATCACTGGAGGCACCGATTGAGCCGGTCTCTGCGTGTATGTGGGGTGGAACAAAGGAACTATATGAGGCAGTTTGAGAGGGACTTGGGGTTCTACAGTGAAATTGTATAATAAGAACTAACCCAAAAAGAAATAGGCAAGGCATATTGACATGGGAGAGAGGCATAAAGCAATCACAGGTGTTATTAGAGAGAGCTAAGACAACAACTGGTAATGGCGATAAAGTTTGAGCTGAGGCTAAACAGAATAAACAGGACAGGGTACCGTGTAAAGGAACAGTCCAGCAGGCATCAGCTGTGCAGCTGAGCGATCATAATGTCCAGTGAACAGCAATATGTGAGTCCGAGAGCAGTTCAAATTGGGCAGGAAGCACAGTTGTAGTTTGTGTGTGCTAGAGGGCCGGGGCTAGCAGATGGATCTTCGTGGTCGACGTCGTAACGGGAAGCCCGTTGAAACCACATCAGACGATTTCGTCGGCAAACCATCGGCGGGGCTCAGTGTCAACATTAGGAGGTCCCGTCCGGTTGAAAGAGAGGTAGATAGCCGGGAGATGGGCCTGGCTCGAGGCTAGCTCAAGGCTAAATGGTGCTGCTAAGGGGCAATAGTAATTAGCCAACAACAGTTTGCAGCTAGCTGGTTGCGATGATCCGGCGCTAGGGTCCAGTGATTCCGGCAGAAAGTCCGATTTGCTCTGGGTCGATAACACGCTGTGCAGACTGGCCGACGAATTGTCCAGGCCAGAGCTAGAGCTGGCTGGTGGGTAGTGCCACGGACAATGGTGAAGACGCTAAAGGTGGCTAATAGCAAGTAGACATTCAGTTGCAGCTAGACTAGTTTCAGCTTAAGATTCTTGATAAAAGTTATAAATAAATAATAGAATCCTTTCCACGTTGGTTGAGGCGGGTTGCAGGAAAGTATATTTAGTTAAAGAATGAAAAGTAAAATTGAGAAATATATACAAAATAGACAGAAAACAAGAAACTGGCTATTTACACTAGGACACAGAAAAAGAAACACGACCGCACTTCTACGCCATCTTGGTTCTCCTCTGAATCATTCAGATATTCATTGGCAAACTTCAGACGGGCCAGTATATGTGCTTTCTTGAGCAGGGGGACCTTGCGGGCACTGCAGGATTTCAGTCCTTCGCGGCGTAGTGTGTTACCAATTGTTTTCTTGGTGACTATGGTCCCAGCTGCCTTGAGATCATTGACAAGATCCTCCCGTGTAGTTCTGGGCTGATTCCTCACCGTTCTCATGATCATTGCAACTCCACGAGGTGATATCTTGCATGGAGCCCTAGGCCGAGGGAGATTGACAGTTTTTTTGTGTTTCTTCCATTTGCGAATAATCGCACCAACTGTTGTCACCTTCTCACCAAGCTGCTTGGCGATGGTCTTGTAGCCCATTCCAGCCTTGTATAGGTCTACAATCTTGTCCCTGATATCCTTGGAGAGCTCTTTGGTCTTGGCCATGGTGGAGAGTTTGGAATCTGATTGATTGATTGCTTCTGTGGACAGGTGTCTTTTATACAGGTAACAAGCTGAGATTAGGAACACTCCCTTTAAGAGTGTGCTCCTAATCTCAGCTCGTTACCTGTATAAAAGACACTTGGGAGCCAGAAATCTTTCTGATTGAGAGGGGGTCAAATACTTATTTCCCTCATTAAAATGAAAATAAATGTATAACATTTTTGACATGCGTTTTTCTGGATTTTTTTGTTGTTATTCTGTCTCTCACTGTTCAAATAAACCTACCATTAAAATAATAGACTGATCATTTCTTTGTCAGTGGGCAAACATACAAAATCAGCAGGGGATCAAATACTTTTTTCCCTCACTGTAGCTACTTATGCTGTACTGCTCCCCCTTCCCATTTCGTACATTTCCATAAAACTGTTGGAGAAAGATGTTAAACTCTTCCTTAGTGACAGTTTTGAAGTCAACAACTTACTTTCTTCTCTGTTAGCCAGCCCTCTAAGCACCACACTGCCCAGTTTGTATTCTTAACTGTGTTTTCTTCATTGCGGCTTTTCTCTAGGTCATTCAATGCAGTATCCCCCATATCTGCATGCCTGGGTCTTATTGCCATCTCTTTTTCCCATTCATCCATAGTCATGCCGCCGAAAAGATAAAAAGAAATGTTCCACTCATCCATTTTAGTATTGATTTAGCCAGTCAATTGAAAAAAGTATTGTATGTTGCTATGACAACCAGCTCAATTTGCTGTCTGTCTCATTCTGACACATTCACTTTATATGGTACAGTGGAGATCGCAATTCAATATTGAAACAATATTGAAAAGCTCTGAGAGACCGACAGCAAGGTTTATACAAATCTCTGCTGTTGAAAACCAAATGCTAGTCTAAAGGAAATGTCTAGATTATTTTTATAGTGGATATAAAGTTTATACATTTCCTGGCAGGGTTGATGAGACAGTGGATTGCGCAGTGAGATGGAACAGAGTAAATAGGCATTTCAACGTCATAGATTTAGCCGGTGGCAACTTGTGAAATAGACACCGGCTGGAATGTGGTTTAAACCAATCAGCATTCAGGATTAGACCCACCCATTGTCTAATAACAGTAGTTACACATAATGAAAATATAAGTTCCCTGTAACTTTTTTGTTTATTAATGTTTCAGAATAATAACCCACATGGGGGTTGTTACCCACAGGGGTAATAATACAAAAACAATATAACTTACGCTGGAAGTTGAGGATGAGGGTTGGAAAAGGAGATCCATATTACCATATTCTTATTGTATTGATATCCCTCTATACTATGGCAACGTATTATGTGTATTTCCCAGAAAAAATAATATAATCATACGCGCGCTGCTGGTATGAACTGCTAAAACCAAAACCAACATATTCTGTTGGCTTTCGGGTATAGCTTTCACTAAACAGAAGCAGGAGTTGGTTGGGCTTGACGCACCGGACAGCTTGTACTCGACCCAAAGCCTGTTGGTCTTACATGGTATGAGACTGTAATCCATCACCAGGAAGACAAAAGGCTAGGGGAGAAGACTAACAAATCAACTCCAAAATCTCCCGAAACCAGAAATGGTGGACAGTTGGACAGGGCGCTAGCAACCCCATCCCGTAGAAACTCCACCCATGTTGTTAACCCTCCCGTTGTCCTGTCCGGGTCAAAATGACCTAGGCTACGTGTTAGAGTGAGTGGCTGTATAACCCCTAGCGTTGTCCTGTCCTGGCCGGGGTCAAAACGACCCAGGCTACGTGTTAGAGCGAGTGGCTGTATAGCCCCTAGCGTTGTCCTGTCCTGGCCGGGGTGAAAACGACCCAGGCTACGTGTCAGTGCCTACGTTTTAGAGTGAGTGGCTGTATAACCCCAAGCGTTGTCCTGTCCTGGCCGGGGTCAAAATGACCCAGGCTACGTGTCAGTGCCTATGTGTTAGAGCGAGTGGCTGTATAACCCCTAGCGTTGTCCTGTCCTGGCTGGGGTCAAAATGACCCAGGCTACGTGTCAGTGCCTACGTGTTAGAGCGAGTGGCTGTATAACCCCTAGCGTTGTCCTGTCCAGGTCAAAAAGACCCAGGCTACGTGTCAGAGCCTACGTGTTAGAGCGAGTGGCTGTATAACCCCTAGCGTTGTCCTGTCCTGTCCTGGCTGGGGTCAAAACAACCCAGGCTACGTGTCAGAGCCTACGTGTTAGAGCGAGTGGCTGTATATCCCCTCCCGCTGTCCTGTCCGGGTCAAAAAGACCCAGGCTACCTGTTAGAGTGTTAGAGCGAGTGGCTGTATAACCCTTAGCATTGTCCTGTCCTGTCCGGGGTCAAAATGACCCAGGCTACATGTTAGATTGTTAGAGCGAGTGGCTGTATAACCCCTAGCGTTGTCCTGTCCGGGGTCAAAATTACCCAGGCTACGTGTTAGAGCGAGTGGCTGTATAACCCCTAGCGTTATCCTGTCCTGTCCGGGTCAAAAAGACCCAGGCTACGTATTAGAGTGTTAGAGCGAGTGGCTGTATAAGCGTTGTCCTGTCCTGTCCTGGCTGGGGTCAAAACGACCCAGGCTACGTGTCAGTGCCTACGTGTTAGAGCTAGTGGCTGTATATCCCCTCCCGCTGTCCTGTCCGGGTCAAAAAGACCAAGGCTACGTGTTAGAGTGTTAGAGCGAGTGGCTGTATAACCCCTAGCGTTGTCCTGTCCTGTCCTGGCTGGGGTCAAAACGGCCCAGGCTACGTGTCAGAGTGTTAGAGCGAGTGGTTGTATAACCCCTAGCGTTGTCCTGTCCTGGCTGGGGTCAAAATGACCCAGGCTACGCGTTAAAGGCATAAGCTCTGAGCCAGAGGTAGTAGGTAAGCCGTAAACAAACACCAACACCAAGAACTACTACTACTACTACTACTACTACTACTACTACTACTACTACTACTACTACTACTAATACTACTACTAATAATAATAATATTTCCTCGGTGGCATGTCCGGACACGTCCCGAAGAGAGGTCTTGGGGACTTCCCCAGCCTGGGTGCCGAAGCTATTATGAGTGCTGTGCGTTTCACGGCCAAACAGGTCCTAGAACATATATTTTCCAATGACTCTGACTGCGACGAGGAAGCGGAGGAGGAGGCGTCCGAAGAAGAAGACGGGAAGGAACACAACCCAGAGGACGAGGAGACAGCCGCCGCCGCCGACGACAAGGACGACGCCCAAGTAGAAGAAGGCCAAGGCGTAGAAGACGAACGAGACGATGATGACGACGACAACGATGACGACCAAGAAGATGAAGAAGGAGAAGAAGAACAAGGGGAAGGTGAAGGTGAAGGAGAGCGAGGAGACCACCGCCACCGCCGCCGCCACCGCCGCCGCCGCCTCAGCCCCCGACCACAACACGATATCCCTCGAGTGGAAAGAGAGACATTCGTGTCGAGAAACTGCCAAATCCAATGGTGCTTGGTGCCCTGTGACAACAATCGGGGCGTCGGAGGGGCCGCCGCAGCGGCGAAAAGTAACAGGCCGGTTGCTGAGGTGCCGGAGGACATGAGGCCCGGGCCTACTAGGCAGGCCGTAGGCCAAGCCCGCGACATCCTCTCCACGTTCCGCCTGTTTTTCACACCGGAGATAGAAGACATCATCCTGGAGATGACCAATCTGGAGAGTGTTCGAAAATACGGAGCCCGAGGCGACGGCGACGGCTGTGGCGACGACGACCACCGCCACTACGCCGACGACCACGAAGACCACGACCGCGACCGCCGCGGCCGCTGGAAAGCGATGGACTCCACCGACCTGCGAGACTACGTAGGGCTGCTCATCCTATCCGGCGTGTACAGATCCCGAGGCGAGGCAACCGCTAGTCTCTGGGACGCCGAGAGCGGGAGGACCATTTTCCGCGCAACCATGCCGCTCAAAGTCTTTCACTCTTACTCGAGACTCCTTCGCTTCGACGACCGCCAGACCAGAGCCGAGAGACGCGCAGCAGGCGGCAGTGACAAACTTGCAGCCGTGAGAGAGGTCTGGGACAAGTGGGTCGAGAGGCTGCCGCTCCTCTACAACCCCGGGCCCGACGTGACGGTGGACGAGCAACTGGTCCCTTTCAGAGGTGGACCGGGCCAACAACACCGTACAAGAGCACAACAACACCGTACACAACACAACACGCTAAAGCTAATCGCTTCTCTTTCCTTCCTCTCCTCTCCTCTCTCTTTTCCTCTCTCTTTTCCTTTCTGTCTCTCTCTCTCTCTCTCTCTCTCTCTCTCTCTCTCTCTCTCTCTCTCTCTCTCTCTCTCTCTCTCTCTCTCTCTCTCTCTCTCTCTCTATCCTCCAGGCCGATGTCCTTTCCGCCAGTATATTCCAAGCAAGCCGGCCAAATACGGCATCAAGACCTGGGTGACCTGCGACTCCAAATCCAGCTACGCCTGGAAGATGCAGGTCTACACTGGGAAGGCCACTTGCGGAGGCCCCGAGAAGAACCAGGGGATGAGGGTCGTGCTCGATTTGACGCAGGGACTCAGGGGTCACAACGTCACCTGCGACAATTTCTTCACCTCATACGAGCTCGCGCGCCAGCTCCTGAGGAGGAACGTCACCGTGGTCGGCACAGTCAGAAAGAACAAGCCAGAGCTCCCACCGGCGCTGCTCGCCTCAAAGGACAGGCTCCTCTTCTCCTCCAAGTTCGCCTTCACGCCCACCATCGCTCTAGTGTCCTACCTGCCAAAGAAAAACAAGAACGTCTTACTCCTGAGCACGCTGCACACCGAGGCTCACGTTAGCCGTCGCCAGGACAAGAAGCCGGCCATCGTCCTAGACTACAACAGCAACAAGGGAGGTGTGGACAACCTAGACAAGGTGATTGGAACCTACAGCTGCAGGAAGATGACCGCCCGCTGGCCCCTGGTCATCTTCCACAACATCCTTGACGTGTCCTCCTACAACGCTTTTGTCATATGGCGAGAGCTCAACCCTACTTGGATGCCTGGTAAGCGAAACAAGAGGAGGGTGTTCCTCGAGCAGCTGGGAAAGGCACTAGTGACTCCGTTCATAAAAAGAAGGGCCCGTCTCCCTCGCACCGAAGCCTCTGCGGCACTCGTCAAAGCTGTTCAGAGGGCTACGTATCGCGATCAGCCCCGGGATCACGCCCCCGCCGCACCGGCCCACGCACCGGCCCAAGCACCCGACCCCGGACAACCCAGTAAGAGGAAGAGGTGTCAGGTCAGCCCCACAAAGAATGACTGTAAAACACACACTGTGTGCACCAGGTGTAACAAATACATCTGCAAAGGCTGTTCGCACGCATACTGTCCCACATGTTCCAATTGGGCCTTTTGTGAGAGGGGGACAGTTCGACCCGGAGGGCACGGCGTGTGTACAGAATACCAGGACAACGGGAGGGTTAATATCATAAAACAGTTCTACAGCAACTTTTCATGCACTGTGGGAACGAACAACACAAGCTTTGCTGTGAAGTCTGGAGTTTGTCAACGTTGTGTGATGTCAGCCTTACTCTTCAAGCTGGCAACAGAAGATCAGGCAAGAGGAATACGATGGACCTTGTATTCTACTCTAGAAGACTTCACTGATGACCTGGCACTTTTATCACACACACACACCAACATCTGCAAGACAAAACAGACAGAGTTCAGTCCTTTGGTCAGCAAGTCAGCCTGGTTATCAACTGCAGCAAGACAAAGGTCATACCCATCAACATAACACAGCAAAAGCAATCAAAATCAAGGAACAAGACCTGAAGTTAACCCACAGTTTTACTTACCTTGGGAGCACCATAAGCCATGATGCAGGCACCAGCAAAGACATCTGCACCAGAATCAATAAAGCAATAGCAAGTTCAATAAAATCTTAAAATCTGGACAATATAGCACAAACTCAAAACTCAAAACTATACCAGAGCTGTATACTCACTTGTGTTTGTTGTGTGGAAGTTTGTGTGGAAGAGGTGGAAAAACAATTGTTATCCATCAATAATGATAAGCCACCAGGTATAGACAACCTCGATGGGAAACTATTAAGAATGGTAGCAGACTGTATTTCCAACCATATTTGCCATGTCTTTAACCAAAGCCTAAAGGAGTGTGTGTGTTCACAGTCGTGGAAGGAAGCTAAAGTAATTCCACTACCAAAAAAAGTAAAGCACCGTTTGCTGGCTCTAACAGCCGACCAATCAGTTTGCTGCCTGTTCTTAATGAACAGATGGTGAAAATTGTGTTTGAACAAATACAATGTTATTTTTCAAAGAACAAGTTAACTTCTGACTTTCAGCATGCATATAAGGAAAGGCATCTTGTACTGAACTGACTCTGATGATTGGCTAAATAAAATGGATAATAGGATGATAGTTGGAGATTTCAGTGCAGCCTTTGATGTTATTGATAATAATTTGTTATTTACAAAACTCACTTCTTATTGTTTTACATCACCTGCCATCACATGGTTGGAGAGTTACTTATTCAATAGAACCCAGAGTATTTTTCAATGGAAGCTTCCTAACATCAGACATGTACAGTGCGGTATCCCTCAGGGCAGTTGCCTTGGCCGTAACTCTTCTCTATTTTTACAAAATATTTGCCACTTACAAGAAGCTCAAATGACTATGTATGCTGATGATTGACCACTCTACACATCAGCAGCTACAGCCAGTGAGCTCCCTGAGGCTCTTAGCAATGGGTAATTAATTGCATTTGGTTCAAAATATTATCTTAGACCTAAACCTCAACTGGAGTTGTGCATCAAGGGTGTGACCATTGAGCAAGTTGAGAAAGCTACACTTCTAGGACTAACATTGGATGGTCAGTTACCATGGTCAAGTCATATTGACAAGGTTGTTGTGAAGATGGGGAGAGGTACTATATGTCTGTTATACACAAAAATCAACTGTACTAGTTGTCAGACTCTGATCTTGTCCCATCTTGATTACTGTCCAGTAATATGGTCAAGTGCCCCAAGGAAAGACCTAGCAAAGCTGCAGCTGGCTCAAAACAAAGCAGCATGCTTTGCCCTTAAAGGTGCAATATGCAGAAATCGCTCTGCAAATTCCTCGTCACAACTAGACAAACTTATCTTTTTGAGAAGATCAGGGAGATTTGCAACAAAGAGGCCATGGATATCACATGCCCTGCACCAAAGTTTAGTGCAGGACAGAAACAGGCTCTTTGAATAAAGGTTCCCTTGAATGAAAAACAGCCTCTATCTCAAGGCCATCAGACTGTTAAATAGCCATCACTAGCACATTAGAGACTGCTGCTGCCTATTGAAATCACTGGCCACTTTAGGAAATGGAACACTAGTCACTTTAATAATGTTTACATATCTTGCACTACTCATCTCATATACTGTATTCTATTCTATAATATTCTACTGTATCTTAGTCCATGACGCTCTGTCATTGCTTGTCCATATATGTATATATTCTTAAATTCCATTCCTTACTAGATTTGTGTGTATTGGGTTTATGTTGTGAGATTGTTAGATATTACTTGTTAGATATCACTGCACTGTTGGAGCTAGAAGCACAAGCATTTCGCTACACCCACAATAACATCTGCTAAACACGTGTATGTGACAAATAAAATGTGATTTATTTGATTTGATTTGATTTATTTGACAATCACAAAGACAGGTGAAACAGATCAGGGTGTGACACTAAACAATACATTAATTGCACTATAACGGTGACAAACGGTTCCCACAAACTGTTAGGGCCTACATAAAGCTGTCCGAACATCAGAGTCCCAACAGCAGTCCCAACACCTTACCACTGCTACACCTGGCTATCAGCGGAGCCTTGTCTGGCAGCGAAACAGTTTATTCAACCTAATTTACTGCCTTTTTAAAAAACATAGATGATATGGCTGACTTGCTTAAACAAATGGGGTTTCTACTGACAATTGAGATGTACAAACTATGGCATAAGGGGACGACATGCTGATAAGAGGCATTCCGTTATTTCGATTAAAACAATGTGTGAGCTAGGACGGATGTAGTCAATATAACTATTTGTTCAGCACTTTTGAAATGTACAGCGACAGAATTCAGAACATGGGCCATTCTTACAGTGTTCTCCCTGTACACCAAGTCAGAACCGTAGGATAAATAAAGGGGGCGAATAAGCAGACAATGAAAGCTCTTACAATATTAGATGATTACATTTCTCTAAAACAGGTTATAGGTTACATGTGCACCACCAAGTCAGAACAGTAGGCGAAATTAAGAGGGGAAAATAGATCTCATTATTAGGGTGATGCATATGGGCTACTAACAGTTTACTACACAACATACACTTAGTATTACTTTCTTAGCTACAGTATACATATCTCCCTAGCAAATTACATCATTTATGCAGCAGCATACAATATATTTTTGTACTCACCTTGTTGTGCTGTGCTCACTTGAACAGGAAGGTGGCACGGCGGTCCTTCGTGGGCAAATTTTGTCATCAAATTTTGTCATCAAAGTCTGCCATTCTCTGGATTTATGGTGCTTTCAGGACAACTGGGAACTCTGAAAAAAACAAGGTCGAATCATGATGATGTCAGGGAACTTCAGGTCGTAGCTCTAGAAAGAGGCCAGAGTTCCCAACTTACAATTCTGAGTTGGATGACCTTTCAAAACGTATTTTCCCAGTCTGAGCTAGTTTTTTCCTGAGTTTCCAGTTGTCTTGAACTCACTGAAGTCAGATTTCCCAGTTCTGAGTTAACAGTTGTTTTGAGCGCAGCAGAAATCATGCTGGATTGACAGCATGGCCAATGTTGAAGGTTAATAATTTTAAGCTTGGAAAAGAGACCCTTAAAGTGAGAATTGGGACCACACACCCACTCCACTGAATAGCAGGCTAGTGATTGCTTTGCAATGCTTGCAGTTAGCCACTGATTCCTTCCAAACCGCTCATTGTTGAATTTGCGATTTCCAACTTGTTGTGTAATGTTTATGTCCAATGGCCGATGAGCACCGATTAGTTTTATCTATAATTTCTCTTCATTATTTATCTTCATATGACAAGGATTAAAAAGGATTTTCCAGTAGATTGTCGACTTGATTCATGATGATGACTGCTAGCTAAGATTTTGAAAGTATGATGTTGACATGATCAGTCCAATCAAAGCTACTGTAGATGTAACGTGATTTGACATCATTTTATCTGTGGCCAATGACCTTGAGCCTTCTTGGATGGGCACTTCTAATGTAACTCTATGGCAGCACCCAAGGGGCTTGAATGTTCGAGCTCTACCCTTAGAATTGGCAGTGACGTAGTGTCCCCATGAGTGACAGAACACTGAGCCAATCACGGCGCAACTAGAGAACATTACCAACCCCTACATATTTTCCGCTGTCTGCCCCACCACCACAGAAAGCACTGAGCTTGGCTAAAACACCTGCATTTTGGAGCTGCCTTACTCAAGAAAGCAAAAAAGAGACCATGTTTGTGTGGAGGCTTTATATATGTTTTTTTATATTGTTTGCAAACTGATATGTGACACGTATTATTGCCAAAATAACATGCAGAACAGGCATGTGGGGCTCAAAACAGTTGTAGGGTTATTGAGGTTGGTCGCGGATGTGGGGGGGGGGGGGGGGGTTGGAAGAGATTTTGGGGATGGGTGAGGGTTTGTTAGAAGTGAGTAGGGCTCTTTTTAAATTTTCTTAATAGTATAGGATTAGGTAGAAGGGTTTAGTTTTACTTAATGTTTTTTCTTTATTCATTTAGTCTGTAACCTGTGATTAACTACACACTCCAGTACAGTAGGTGGCGGCAATTCGAGAAGTGGAATTGTTTAGATTTTTTGTGTATCCGTCTCCCAGAGGAAGCGGACACTTCGAGTCATGCGGCTCGGGGCTCAACCTGTGGTGCGCTTTGCTCTCTGGAGCGGGGTGCCTCTAAAAGGGGTGATCAGTGGGGCTACGTTGAGTGTAGAGGTGGATCAAATGAAAATAAATATTTCTAGTGTTTGTGACACCCGCTGTTTAGTGAGACGTAGACCTGGTGGTAATGGTGAGACTGAGAATACTCTGTCTGTCTTGTTGAGCTTTGACACAGAGTTTTTACCTGATCAGGTTAGGTTATATTTGCTATTCTGTGAGGGCCTATGTTGCGAAACCGCTTCGGTGCTTTAGTAGGTGCCAAGGAATCAGACACATTGCAGCATTGTGTAGAAGGGAGATCCGACAATGCGAGAAATGTGCAGGAGGGCATAGTCATATAGTGAGGGAAAAAAGTATTTGATCCCCTGCTGATTTTGTACGTTTGCCCACTGACAAAGACATGATCAGTCTATAATTATAATGGTAGGTTTATTTGAACAGTGAGAGACAGAATAACAACAAAAAAATCCAGAAAAACGCATGTCAAAAATGTTATAAATTGATTTGCATTTTAATGAGGGAAATAAGTATTTGACCCCTCTGCAAAACATGACTTAGTACTTGGTGGCAAAACCCTTGTTGGCAATCACAGAGGTCAGACGTTTCTTGTAGTTGGCCACCAGGTTTGCACACATCTCAGGAGGGATTTTTTCCCACTCCTCTTTGCAGATCTTCTCCAAGTCATTAAGATTTCGAGGCTGACGTTTGGCAACTCGAACCTTCAGCTCCCTCCACAGATTTTCTATGGGATTAAGGTCTGGAGACTGGCTAGGCCACTCCAGGACCTTAATGTGCTTCTTCTTGACCCACTCCTTTGTTGCCTTGGCCGTGTGTTTTGGGTCATTGTCATGCTGGAATACCCATCCACGACCTATTTTCAATGCCCTGGCTGAGGGAAGGAGGTTCTCACCCAAGATTTGACGGTACATTGCCCCGTCCATCGTCCCTTTGATGCGGTGAAGTTGTCCTGTCCCCTTAGCAGAAAAACACCCCCAAAGCATAATGTTTCCACCTCCATGTTTGACGGTGGGGATGGTGTTCTTGGGGTCATAGGTAGCATTCCTCCTCCTCCAAACACGGCGAGTTGAGTTGATGCCAAAGAGCTCGATTTTGGTCTCATCTGACCACAACACTTTCACCCAATTCTCCAGTTCTCCTCTGAATCATTCATATGTTTATTGGCAAACTTCAGACGGGCCTGTATATGTGCTTTCTTGAGCAGGGGGACCATGCGGGCGCTGCAGGATTTCAGTCCTTCACGGCGTAGTGTGTTACCAATTGTTTTCTTGGTGACTATGGTCCCAGCTGCCTTGAGATCATTGACAAGATCCTCCCGTGTAGTTCTGGGCTGATTCCTCACCGTTCTCATGATCATTGCAACTCCACGAGGTGAGATCTTGCATGGAGCCCCAGGCCGAGGGAGATTGACAGTTATTTTGTGTTTCTTCCATTTGCGAATAATCGCACCAACTGTTGTCACCTTCTCACCAAGCTACTTGGCGATGGTCTTGTAGCCCATTCCAGCCTTGTGTAGGTCTACAATCTTGTCCCTGACATCCTTGGAGAGCTCTTTGGTCTTGGCCATGGTGGAGAGTTTGGAATCTGATTGATTGCTTCTGTGAACAGGTGTCTTATATACAGGTAACAAGCTGAGATTAGGAGCACTCCCTTTAAGAGTGTGCTCCTAATCTCAGCTCGTTACCTGTATAAAAGACACCTGGGAGCCAGAAATCTTTCTGATTGAGAGTGGTTCAAATACTTATTTCCCTCATTAAAATGCAAATCAATTAATAACATTTTTGACATTCGTTTTTCTGGATTTTTTTATTGTTATTCTGTCTCTCATTGTTCAAATATACCTACCATTAAAATTATAGACTGATTATTTCATTGTCAAAATCAGCAGGGGATAAAATACTTTTTCCCCTCACTGTAAGTAGTGTACAGTTGGGATAGAGAAAGCACTGTGTGTCAACTGTGGGGGTGCCTATGCAGCTGGGGATCCGAAGTGCCCTGTGTGAGAGAGACAGGTTGAGATTGCCAGAGTTCAAGTGGGGATGAGGCAGTGAAGAGAGTAGAGGATATCCCAAGGGTGAGTGAGTCGACTGGGAGGCCCCCAGTGTGTAGGCCTGAAGAGAGAGAGAGCCAGAGTGGATGACTTTTTTAAAACATTTTTACATTTACATTTTAGTCATTTAGCAGATGCTCTTATCCAGAGCGATTTATAGGAGCAATTAGGGTTGGAAATCACAGAAAAATAGATGTGGTCGTTGCAGCAGCAGAGAAATATTTGGGTGTGAGAGATTTTAGTGCAGAAGATCTACAGGAAGATTTGAGAGAAGGGGTTCCATCTTCCCAGGCCGATGGCCTGGTGTAGGATCGTTCAGGGCCAAGAAGTGGGATGGGTTGGTGGGTTTTGGGGGATAGTATATAGGTGCAGGGTTAGATGGTGGTGCAATTAAAGTTTTTCCCATTCCCTTTTCCCTTTTTTTGGTGACCAAAATGCGAAATGCAGCATTATGCAACAAAGTGTCTAATCTGCCTGAAAGCCACATGAAGAAGAAGAAGGCACACTGCTTTGAAGTTAGCTGCTTAGCGATTTCGATTCATGCCTCGGAGCTCCGGTATCAAACGTAACATCACCATTAACTAGCTATTATGTTAAGGTAAGAATTATCTAAGGTAAAAAGTTGTTGCTTTGTTTGTTGACACTGTCTCTGGGCAGTGACGGTTGTTAACATTAGCTAGCTAACATTAGCTTGCTAGTTAGCTAACATTAGTTAAAACAGACCAAAGGGGGTGTCACGCCCTGGCTCTGGGGACTCTCGTATGTTGAGCCAGGGTGTTAGTTTCTATGTTTTTGTGTTCTAGGTTGTGTTGCTTCTAGTTTGGTATTTCTATGTTGGCCAGGGTGGTTCCCAATCAGAGACGGCTGTAGCTCGTTGTCTCTGATTGGGAGCCATACTTAGGTAGCCGTTTGGCATTTGTTTAATGTGGTATCTTGTTCCGTTTGGTTTGTGTAACCGTAGGACTTCACGTTTTGTATCGTTTGTTGTTTTGTTCGTTGTGTGTACACTGAAATAAATATGTACGCATATCACGCTGCGCCTTGGCCCGCTTCTTCTCAAGACGATCGTGACAGAAGATACCACCACGACTGGGTCAAGCAGCGGGATGAGGAGAGAGGTTGGAATTGGGAGCAGTGGAGTGAGAGTTGGGCGAGAACCATGGAGGCCTGGTCCACGGGGGAGAGACACGCCCAGAACATTTTTAGGGGGGGGCTCACGCCGTGGACGACGGGGCAGCAGGAGTACGGGATAGAGTGGTTCAGAGGGTTGGCAGAGGAGGCCGCTAGGTTACGGGAGTTACTGGACACAAGGGGGAAGGAGAATGTAGAGGCACGGCGAGAGGTACTGGGGTGTGTTGCCAGTCCGGTCCGGCCCGTTCCTGATCCCCGCGTAGGGCCAGTGGCGTGTGTCCCCAGTACGGTCCGGCCTGTTCCTGTCTCTCACACCGAGCCTGTGGTGCGCGTCGCCAGCCCGGTCCGGCCTGTTCCTGCCTCTCGCACCGAGCCTGTGGTGCGCGTCGCCAGCCCGGTCCGGTCTGTTCCTGTCCCTCGCACCAAACCAGTGGTGCGCGTCGCCAGCCCGGTTCGGTCTGTTCCTGCCCCTCGCACCAAGCCAGTGGTGCGCGTCGCCAGCCCAGTTCGGCCTGTTCCTGCCCCTCGCACCAAGCCAGTGGTGCGCGTCACCAGCCCGGTCCGGCCCGTTCCTGCTCCCCGCACCAACCCTGTGGTGCGCGTCGCCAGCCCGGTCCGGCCTGTTCCTGCCCCTCGCACCAAACCAGTGGTGCGCGTCGCCAGCCCGGTTCGGTCTGTTCCTTCCCCTCGCACCAAGCCAGTGGTGCGCGTCGCCAGCCCGGTCCGGCAAGTTCCTGCTCCCCGCACTAAACCTGTGGTGCGCGTCATCAGCCCGGTCTGGCCCGTTCCTGCTCCCCGCACCAAGCCAGTGGTGCGCGTCGTCAGCCCGGCCCGGCCTGTTCCTGATCCCCGCACCAAGCCAGTGGTGCGCGTCGCCAGCCCGGTCCGGCCTGTTCCTGATCCCAGCACCAAGCCAGTGGTGCGCGTCGTCTGTCCGGCACAGCCCGTGCCTGTTCCACCGGTGCCTGGTCCGGCACCGGTCAGCGGCTCCACTCCGGAGCTAGAGCAATCCGCTCCACCAGTATTCAGTCCAGCTCCGGCCAGCAGGGCCAGACCGGACCAGGGGCGCTTTGGGGGGTTAGAGAGGGAGTGGGGGTCATGCCCGGAACCGGATCCGCCGCCGAGGCGGACTGCCCACCCGGTCCCTCCCCTTTTGTGTTTGGTTGGCGCGGTCGGAGTCCGCGCCTTTGGGGCGGGGTACTGTCACGCCCTGGCTCTGGGGACTCTCGTATGTTGAGCCAGGGTGTTAGTTTCTATGTTTTTGTGTTCTAGGTTGTGTTGCTTCTAGTTTGGTATTTCTATGTTGGCCAGGGTGGTTCCCAATCAGAGACGGCTGTAGCTCGTTGTCTCTGATTGGGAGCCATACTTAGGTAGCCGTTTGGCATTTGTTTAATGTGGTATCTTGTTCCGTTTGGTTTGTGTAACCGTAGGACTTCACGTTTCGTATCGTTTGTTGTTTTGTTCGTTGTGTGTACACTGAAATAAATATGTACGCATATCACGCTGCGCCTTGGCCCGCTTCTTCTCAAGACGATCGTGACAGGGGGTTAGATAATAGACCTTGCTTGGTTGCCTTCTTGTGCAGATCATTCTATGCATCATTCTGTTTGTGTCTAGCTAACAACGTTAAATGTTGAACATAGCGCTACTAGTTAGCTACGTTAGCTAGCTAGGTTAGGTAACAGTTGAACATTGATAACTAGCTAGCTTGTGAACTGTTTCATTACATTTACATTTTAGTCATTTAGCAGACGCTCTTATCCAGAGCGACTTACAGTTAGTGATTACATATATTTTTTTATACTGGCCCCCCGTGGGAATCGAAACCACAACCCTGGAGTTGCAAACGCCATGCTCTATCAACTGAGCTACATCCCTGCCGGCCATTCCCTCCCCTACCCTAGACGACGCTGGGCCAATTGTGCGCCGCCCATGAGTCTCCCGGTCGCGGCCGGCTGCGACAGAGCCTGGATTCGAACCAGGATCTCTAGTGGCACAGTTAGCATAAGACATAACTATTACCCCCTCCACATAAGATACACAGCTAGCTAGTTTGACAGGGCCTTCTTTCACTGTAACCAAATAAGTCATTGTATTCCCTTTTTTAAATCTACGTTAACGTTGTAGCTAGATAGGCAACATTAGCTAGTTAAGTTAGCGAATGGTGCCATTGTATCGCCGATATTAACAGACACTACCTATAGCTAGTTAGCTAAGGCCATTAAATCTATATCTAATTAGCTAGCGTTAGGTCACAGACAACCAAACTAGCCAAGTTATCACACTACCTGGTTAGCTAGCTAGCTACAGGCTTGCTAGTTAGCATTACATTCCTCCTGCTAGTAGCCTCTTCACTCCAGGAGACCTGTACACATTGGATACACCCATGTGTAGCAGGTCACCCGGAGCGAAGAGGCTATCCTGTTAGCTGATGTTACCAACAATAGTTTTTCCTGTCAGCGAACACGTCTAGGTCCTAAAATGTATAACGTTAGCTACCTAGCCAGTTATTTAGCTAGCTAGCTAGCTAGCTATTTATGACTATGCCAGACATACTAATATCTGGTTATACATTGCTTTGATCTAGCTAGTTAATGCTGTAAACCAAAGAAACATTCAAGTCTTAGCTACCATTTCTAGCTAGTTGTCTAATGCTGGTTGTAAACAGCCGAGTTGACTTCATTTTTTAAAAAGGCCATGATGAGTAGAATAACTAGCTAGCTAGCTAATTAACGTTAGTATTTGAAACCATCCAGTCCTATTCTTAAATATCTATAATTTACAAAGCATTATTTGTTTCAGTGTAGACCTGATATTGGGTTTGTACCACATTTTCTAGATCAAGGATATATCCACCTGTAATCCGCCAACACATTTGAAAGTACAGTACAACCACAATCAAAGTAAGTACATAATAACATATTTTTTTGTACATGCACCCTTTTCTCAATATTGTGATATTGTATGTTCTACTGGAGCCCAGCCAACAGCGAGTTGCAGTAATCCAGACGGGAGATGACAAGTGCCTGGATTAGGACCTGTGCCGCTTTCTGTGTAAGGTAGGGTCGTACTCTGCGAATGTTGTAGCGATGGGACAGCGATGGGTCTCCTCATACCCTACAAATAAGGTTTGAGGGGTTAGCGAGGGAACTTTGGTCAACTCTGGGTTCAACTTTGCCTGGAAACCCGACGTTGAATTGCATTGAATTCTACGTCGAGCAGAAATAAGCGTTTGAATCAGGATGTATTTTTATCTTGTGCGCATGTAATTATACTTTTATACTTTCCTTTGGATAAATTGTCTCACATTCCTACCTCAGAAAGAACCAACAGCACGGACAGCTTGAAAAGTATGTTAAAATATAATTGTATTCAACTTTCTGGCTTGAAGAGGTCGTGAGAGGAAACATTCCTTATTCAAATGCTCATTTCTGCCCTATGTAGAATTCAATACAATTCAAAGTTGGGTTTCCAGGCAAGTTTCAACTCAGGATAACTGGTACCATGATAGTGGCTCGCCTTTTAGCTAGGTACATTTCTATGGCAACGAATCTTTCAGAACTAACCTGCTCCGGGGCAGGCTTACTAAGGGCTAACTCCATTTATCTTGAATGAAGTGTCTGGGCCACGAGTTGAGGATCAATTAAATCAGAAATTCTCCCTCTCGCAAAGATTTTCATCACCCCTTCATTTGAGGAAGACGACTGATTCAATATTTTATTAATCAAATGTTTTTTTTTGTGAACAATTTTAATGTTAAAATACCAATCACATTACACATTTAGTAAGTACAGCATTTGCTTTCCAAACTTTACGTTTTTTGCACAATTGTATTTTGAAATTTGCAAAAGGCAAACTGACAGCCGCAACCAACCATAGACATAAAATCCATAGATGGCCGTTCCCATTCAATTCAAGACTGGCAGCCATTACTAGTGTACCCATGAGTTTAACAGTCAAATTGCCAGGGTTAGAGGTTCCAAAACACTTTTATGGATTATTATCTATGGCCACAATGCAACAAGCTGTTCCACAGATAGAAGGAGTGATAGGAGTGTAAAAATTGTGCTAGTGCATTGATTAGCACACCAAAGATGGCATTAACAATAAATAATAGACGGCACTACACAAAAAGCCTATTTCACACCATAGCCTGCTGAATTTGCAAGATAACTTTTCTTTCATTTTGATTTTGTCACAAATGAAAATGTAGCACTGACTCGCCCATGGATTGATATTTCAGCATTGTCTGAATGAAGAGTTCAGCATTCGACTAGCTATGTGCGACATGTACACACAGTTACAAGCCTGCGTTTGCGGAAGGCGGGCGAGCAATATCCACCGTCGTAGTACTGATGAAGCCTGACCTGGAATGTGAAGCTAACTGAAGCTGGCTAGCTTTATAAAAGCCTGAGTAATATACCACTCTGGTGACACACAGAGAGACACACACACTAACCACCATTCCCTTGTATGTCTCTGTTAGTCTAATGGCTGGGATGCCAGTGAGATAGATGTTCAACTAGGAGACGTAAGGAGTCAACTCCACCTATGTCTTCCTCTCCATGTACACGTGAGTATCCTCCCCTCAGCTCCTCAATGGCTCCTCAATGTTACGCGGAGTGGAACAGGGGAACCCAAGAGCAGACTCAGACGAGGAGACTGGGATGAAGTAACCCAAGGTATTTATTGAAACACAGGGGGGAGATGAAGTGCAAGTCAGGGGAAACTGCTGGAAACCAGGTGCGGTGGCTGAGGCTGGAGCGAGGCGGGTTGAGACAGGGTGAGCAGGTCCAGAGGGGAATCCAAGGGAGTAGTAGAGTGGGGAATCCAGGACAGAGTAGCAGGATGACGAGACGTGGGACTGGAGACAGGGACCAGAGTCAGGGCGGGCAGAACTGTAGCGGAGAGGAAAACAGCATCAGGCAAGGAAAACAGGCACAACAGAATCACAGGATCTGAATAGTAACAAACGGCTAGAACCGTAGACTGACTGAGCAGAGATTACGATCTGGCAGTGTGGAAGTGGCAGGACTGAGTTTTAGAGGTCTTGATTATGGAACATGTTGCAGCTGGTGGGGATCTGCTCTGACTCCAGCACACCTGTCTCCGCCCACACAATCACACACACACACACACAGAGAGAGAGAGAGGGAGCGGGAGAGTGTACTGGGGGAGTGGTGGCAGGTCAAGGACATTTGACATTTTAGTCATTTAGCAGAAGCTCGTATCCAGAGCGACTTACAGTTAATGAGTGCACAGGATGAGCAGTAGAGGGCGTTGCAGGAGCAGATGTGACAGTACCCCCCCCCCCTCCCCTCAACGGGCACCACCTTGCACCCGACCAGGCTTATCTGGGTGTGAGGTATAGAAATCCCGTAAGAGGGAGGGGTCCAGAATGTGACGCGGGGCACCCAGGGCGCTCCTCAGGCCCGTATCCCTCCCAGTCCACCAGGTACTGCCAGCCACGACCCCGACGGCGCACATCCAGAAGCCGCCGGATGGTAAATGCAGGATGGTCATCGATGAGCCGAGGGGGTGGAGGAGCTGCTGCAGGAGGAGATAGGGGACTGGAGCAGACAGGTTTAATCAGGAATACGTGCAAGGTAGGATGGATCCTGAGAGAGGCTGGGAATTTCAGGCACACTGCAGAGGGGTTAATGACACGGTCAATTTCAACGGTACCAATGAAACTGGGGGAACGTTTCTTCGATGCCACCTTCAATGGCAGGTCCTTCGATGAGAGCCATACCTTTTGACCCGGGGTGTAGACTGGAGCTGAAGCCCGGCGACGGTTGGCTTGGGACTGGGTCCTGTCGCAGGCATGAAGAAGGGCATCCCGGGCCTTCCTCCAGGTACGGTGACAATGGCGCTGATGGTCCTGGACAGAGGGAACCGCAACCTCAACCTCTTGGGCGGGGAACAAGGGGGGTTGGTAACCCAGAGCACACTTGAAGGGTGACATACCTGACGAGGCGTTGAGAGGGTGTTGTGGGCATATTCAACCCAGAGTAGCTGGGCGCTCCAGGAGGAAGGGTTAGCAGAAGTCACGCAGCGTAGGGCAGTCTCCATCTCTTGGTTGGCCCGTTCGGTCTGGCCGTTGGTATGGGGTTGATATCCAGAAGAAAGACTGACATTGATACCAAGAGCTGAACAGACGGATCTCCATACCTGGGAGGTAAATTGGATTCCTCTGTCGGAAACGATGTCAGTGGGGATGCCATGCAGACGAAACACGTGGGATACTAACAGGTCCGCAGTCTCCCTGGAGGACGGGAGCTTGGAGAGGGGAATGAAGTGAGCCATTTTGAAAAACCTGTCAATAATGGTGAGGATGACGGAGTTACTGTTAGATGGGGGAAGGACAGTGACGAAGTCCAGAGCTATGTGTGCCAAGGGGCGACTGGGTATGGGAAGAGGGCGGAGCAGAACGGAAGTGGGTTTAGTGGAGGTTTTGTTCTGGGCACAAACCGAACAGGCTGAGACAAACTCCCGGACATCTCTCTCCATGGTGGGCCACCAAAAGCGCTGACGCAGGAAGGTGAGGGTCCGGTTCATACCAGGGTGACAGGTGAGGTGGGTAGAATGGCCCCAGTGAAGAACATCAGAGCGAACACAATCTGGGACAAACAGAGCATTACTAGTACCGTTACCCGGGTCAGGCTGGTTCTGCTCAGCCTGGCGGATACGGGTCTCGATCTCCCAGGTGACGGCGGCAACAATGCAGGTGGATGACAATGGCTTCTGGCTCGATACCCGTGTTGTCGGTGGTGAACTGGCGAGAGAGGGCATCAGGCTTGGTATTCTTCGAACCAGGGTGATAAGGGAGTGTGAAATTGAATCTACAGAAGAACAAGGCCCACCTGGCTTGCTGGGAGTTCAGACATTTGGCGGTCTGGATGCATGACAGGTTTTTATGGTCAGTCCACACGATGAAGGGGGTTACAGAGCCCTCCAGCCAGTGATGCCATTCCTCCAGAGCCAGTTTAACTGCCAGGAGTTCCCGATTTCCGATTTCTAAATTCCTCTCTGCAGGTGAGAGCTTACGGGAAAAGAATGCACATGGGTGGACCTTCTGAACAGAGGGGGAACGTTGAGACAGAACAGCACCTACCCCGGTGTCAGAGGCATCCACCTCCACGATGAACTGGAGTTCTGGGTCGGGCTGAGTAAGGACCGGAGGTGAAGCGACGCTTGAATTCCAGGAATGCTGCCTCTGCTTCAGGAGTCCAGTGGAACGGAGTGGAGGTGGAGGTGAGAGTGGTGAGAGGTGCTGCCAGACGACTGTACTTTCGGATGAAACGTCTGTAAAAATTTGCAAACCCCAGGAAACGCTGTAGCTGCTTCAGGTTGGAGGGTGCAGGCCACTCTGTGACTGCCATGACCTTGGCGGGGTCCATGCGTAACTGGCCCTGTGCAATAATATAACCCAGGAAAGACACTGTGGCAGCATGTAACTCACATTTTTCCTCTTGAACAAAAAGCTTATTCTCCAACAGCCGTTGAAGAACTTGACGAACATGTTGCTGGTGAGCCTCAGGGTCCTTGGAAAAAAATCAGGATTTCATCTAAATAGACATAAATGAAGCGTCCAATCACATCCCTCAGCATATCATTTACTAGGTTCTGGAAAACAGCAGGGGCGTTTGTAAGACCAAAAGGCATGACCAAATACTCAAAGTGACCAAGTGGTGTGTTGAACGCGGTCTTCCACTCGTCCCCCTCTCTTATGCGGACAAGGTGGTAGGCATTCCGTAGGTCGAGTTTGGTAAACACCATGGCACCATAGAGGTGCGCAAAAGCAGAGCTGATGAGTGGCAAGGGGTACTTGTTCTTAACAGTGATATTATTCAGACCACGAAAGTCTATGCACGGCTTCAGTGACCCATCCTTCTTCTTCACAAAGAAAAACCCAGCACCCACCGGGGAGGAAGATGGCTTGATATGTCCTGCAGCCAGAGAATCCTGGATGTACCTCTCCATAGCCTCTTGCTCGGGACGAGAGAGGGTAAACAACCGGCTACTGGGGAGAGGAGCTGCAGGCTGGAGGTCAATGGCACAGTCGTACGACTGATGAGGCGGCAGCGAAAGGGCGTGGTGCTTGCTGAACACAGGAGCTAGATCATGATACTCGGGAGGAACTGATGACAGGTCCGTAGGTTCTGAAATGAACTGGGACACAGACAAGGCAGGGGGAAGGGCAGAATGTAAACAATTAGAGTGACAAAATGAACTCCAAGTGTTTACCTTTCCTGTGGTCCAGTAAATATGTGGGTTGTGTAGCTTTAACCATGGATGGCCAAGAACCAGTGGAGAGTAAGGACAGTCGATTTTGTGGAAATTGATATTTTCCTGGTGATTTCCAGAGAGACGCGGGATGACAGGGACGGTTCTCTCACAGACACGGGTGAGAAACTGTCTATTGAGAGCGTTGGCATCGAGGGGTGAATCGAGTGGGACAGTGTCTATGCCCAACTGGGTAACGACACCTCGGTCCAGGAAGCTCTCATCTGCGCCCGAATCGATGAGAGCAGACAGAGGAGAAGCATGGCTCTACCACACAAGGTTGCCTTCAAGCAGGGGTCTGGGGAAAGATGGGCAGGCGATTTGGCTCAACAGTATATCCCCCACTACTGCCGAGCCCCCTCTTTTGTTGGACCCAGGGAACAAGTGGAGACAATGTGACCAACCTGGCCACAGTATTGGCAGCTCCTAGTGCCGATTCGCCGTTGCCTCTCCTCAGGAGAGAGACGGGCCCGGCCGAGCTGCATGGGTTCAGGATCAGGACGAGCCTGAGGATGGGATGCAGTCGGAGAAGGAGGACAAGTCACTGAAGTCGATGTTATGGGACAGGCAACCCTACCTATCCTCTCCCTCCAACGCTCACGGAGACGGTTGTCGACGTGGTTAGCGAGAGAGATGAGTTCATCAAGTCCATCAGGCTCATCCCTGGACACCAACTCGTCCTTGAGGGTCTCAGTGAGCGCGTTCCGGAATGCTCCCTGAAGGGTCTCCTCATTCCAGCCGCTCTCAGCGGCAAGAGTGCGGAACTCACATGCCATCACAGCAACACTATGAGGGCCTTGACGGAGGGACACAGTGGGGAGATGGAGTGCAAGTCAGGTGAAACTGATGGAAACCAGGTGCTGAGGCTGAGGCTGGAGCGAGGGGGGTTCAGACAGGGTGAGCAGGTCCAGAGGGGAATCCAAGGGAGTTGTAGAGTGGGGAATCCAGGACAGAGTAGCAGGATGACGAGACGTGGGACTGGAGACAGGGACCAGAGTCAGAGCAGGCAGAACTGTAGCGGAGAGGAAAACAGCGTCAGGCAAGGAAACCAGGCACAACAGGATCTGAATCGTAACAAACAATTAGAACCGTAGACTGACTGAGCAGAGATTACGATCTGACAGTGTGGAAGTGACAGGACTGAGTATTTGTAGAGGTCTTGATTTTGGAACAGTTTGCAGGTGGTGGGGATCTGCTTTGATTCCAGCACACCTGTCTCCGCCCACGCAATCACACACACACAGAGAGAGAGAGAGGGAGAGGGAGAGAGGCGGCAAGTCAAGGAGATGCAGGATGAGCAGTAGAGGGCGTTGCAGGAGCAGATGTGACTCTCAATGTATTTTTAGAAGTTTTAGTAATGCATTATTTGCCTCAACAAGCACCCCGTTTC